CAGTTGGGAGAAGGTAGGAAATTTTTGAAATTCGCCCCACCCATTCCGCAACCTTTATGGCGTCCATTAGATGGATCCTACCATTCTTTCACCAACAACTCTGGTGTTGAATGTTAGGCCGAACAAACATTGGTGTTGAGTTCAAGTTTCCAAACTATCGGAGTGGAGACTGAATAATGTGGTATGTGAAACTCATTCTGGATGATGCTATTCCATTTTAGAAAGCAATTGTGAAGGCAATTAAAATATCTTCAGGGCCATCCCCCAGCCCATAATCCCCCAAACCCTTTGTGCAGGTGGGATTCAGTCCCAAGCCAACAAATTAGTTGGAACCTTTGCTGGTTGGTACTGCTGGTTGTAGCGGAGCCTTGGGCTTGGGATTGAATCCTGCCTACACAAGCCAACAAATTATGGGTAGGGGTGTCAATCGACCAGTTTTGGTTTGGATCCAATCCGATCCAAACCTTATCAAATTGGAATTTGATGGTCCGTTATAATTATTGGGTTGGGCCAATCCAAAAATAAATTGGTCTATATTCTTATTGGTTTGAATTGGACCCAAATCAAATTTCCAATAATCCGATCATGAGGTCGAAACTGTAGCTAGCATAAAATCACTTTTGTGGAAGTAGTTTTACAAAAGTACATTTATAAAAACACTTTTATAAAAGTAATTTTTTGAAAAGTATTTTTACGAAAACACATTTTTACGAAAGCATTTTTACAAAAGTACTTTTATGAATGCATTTTTATAGTAGTTTTATAAAAGCACTTTACAAAATCACTTTAATAAAAGCACATTTTGAAAAATACTTTTACGAAAGTGCTTTTATAAAGTACTTTTATGAGAGAACTTACAAAAGTACTTTTACACGAAAGCACTTTTATAATAAAAACTTTTATGGAAGTATTATAGAAGTACTTTTATGAAAGCACTTTTATAAAAACACTTTTATGAAAACACTTTTATAAAAGAACTTTTATGAAAGAATTTTTACAAAAGCACATTTACAAAAGTACTTTTATGAAAACACTTTTATGAAAACACTTATTCTCTTTCTCTCTCCATTATTTTTAGTTGGATTGATCTTTCTCTCCATTATTTTTAGCACTTTTATTTTTACTTGAGTGGGTGATCATAGTGACAGAATCAACCCCTTTGTTGGACAAAGTGTGATCGGGGAATGCGCTCTCTGATGGAAACTTAAACTGCTGGTAGTTGATTTTAAACTTGTTGAAATTTGTTTTGCAAAATATATTTATATAGAGATATACATATATATTATGGTTATACAAAATGTTTGTAAAATGTTTTAATTTTCGAAATCCATGTGAGTAGAGAGTGCAATACCATTGCAACCGAGGGATAGGTCATTTCTTATCGGATAACGTTTGATCATTATGGGCTAAGAAGTTAAGTATAAGACAATTTAGAGCTTTTACCTGATGGGCTAATGTCATTTAAGTCCATAGTTCTTGGGCTTTCATAATGTGGTTGGACTTAGGGACCATTTAGTGTAATTGTTGAGCCTACTAAGAGCTTATATTGATGGGTTCAGGGGTTCACTATCTTCAGTAGTGAATTTGGCCAAGCCTTGTAATAGAGGCTAGACTGAACCCATATGACTTTTGTGGAGATCAATGTTAGGGTCCCACGTTATACAAAGAGAACTAAGTTAGCCAACAAATTAAAGGGGAATTGAGCCTAATAACTTAATGGTCTAAAGCCCAATTGGTTATAAATTTAGTTTGGTTTGTTTCAAAAACGAACATTGAAAAATGCAGTTGTTCTAAATTAGGGAATAGGATTCCTAGAAGGGAGAAAGAAATTTTTTGAAATTTTGCCCAGCCACCCTACATGGTTCAGCCATCCATTTGATAGATATCTCTTCCCTTCAATGGTATCAGAGCCGGGTTTGAGTCTTGAACCAAATTCATACCAGATCTGAACCTACACAAATGAGTAGAAACTATTTTACCCGATTTGCGCAATCTTGTAGTTTTTCTGAGAATTCGATTCCCAGATTTTTGGGCGTATGATCTAAAATATATTTCTTTATTATCCTAATTTAATTATGGAATTCTTTCGTGATTATTTCTTGGATGTGTGGGCTGTATGTGTGATGGAGATCGAAATCTTTTCTGGCGCCAAGATTTGCACACCCTGCATTTTCTAATCTATTGTTTTGTGATTATTGTTTGGTTTGTAAATATATTGTTTGGTTTGTCCAAGGTCATCACATTACAACCCTTTGATTTATTTTCTTGCTAATCTTGATTGTCTTTTTCGGCCGTAATTATTTTTCAGATCATATTCTTGAAATTGCAAATTATTTTGGACACCAAACCCTAGGTTGAATTTGACATAGTTTGGTCGAATTTGTTTGGACTGAACCTATGGTTCGATGGGTTCTGTTATCAGCCCCATGGATAATGTTTTAGGTGACCCAAATTCTGTTATGGGTCAGGGGTTTGATGGTCCAACACATGATGCAATTTGGCCCACCCTTGTAAAACCCTATTCTGCTAAGTTAAAGCAAAATCAACCTTATTTCAGCCTTACATCTACATGGGCTGAACTGCCTTTCGCAGTTTAGCCCATATACCTTCATAATATTATAGGCCTCAATGGGTTGATGATGTGTTAACTTTAATTAATTAGGGTTTTATAGTTTATGTGATTGATTGGATCAATTTCATGCATGTGGATGTATGCGATGTGTGATGTGCTTCGTACATGAGCCATAAGTACTTGGCCCATTTTAATTCGTTAGGGGCTCTCTACGCACACTATGGCTGAATGTACATCATTGCCATGATTACCTAAAGATCATTGGATAATCTTCTTTCTCAATGGGCCCCAGATTAGCTTCCTCTCCAAGAGG